ATAGTGGAATATAGTCAGCAGGGAGTAGCTGTGGTAGTCTTCAACATTGACCTGGATGCCACAGTGTCATATGGTATCATGTCAATATGGACAAAGAAAACCTATTTTCACTGGATTACTCATCCAACAAGATTTCTTGCTGATTACCATCTACTGCCCTCTCCTCAGCTAACAAATTAGAACCCCATGTTAAACACCGTTTGGAAAAAAGCTCTGAAGGTAGCAAGAGCACAAAACGTTCTCTGCGTAGGGGGCTTCAATGCTAAATCACCAAGAATGGCTCAGCGGCACTACAATTAACTGAGCTGACAAGATGCTTAAAGAACATAATGCCAGACTGACCTACAGTAGATGGTGAGTGAACAAACATGAGAGGAAAAACTTACTTCATCGCATCCTCACCAAACATTCATATCAACAATTTAAAAAGGAAACTGGAGGAAATAACTGGCAGGGCTATAGTAATTAGAGCTGGGAAATAGAAGTGATGAGATTGTCTGCAGGGACCGGACATGGATATTTTGGCCCACGACTTCTGCAATAACTCTCAAGTACGTGATGCACTGTTTAGATAGGAGCGGTCACTGCACAATTTTGTCACAAGGTCATGTCTTTACAATGAAGACACCATTCATCATACTGTGTGGCACCAGGACCATGCTAAATGGGATAGATTTGTAACAAATCTCGCAACTCAAAGCAACTCATCCATGAGGTGCTTTGGGTCATTTGCAAGCATAGAACTGCATTCTATGTTCCAGTCCCATTTGAGTCAATTAACATTTAGTAAGAAATCCTAACAACCCACAATTATCCAACAAAGCTTTGCCGTAAGATTTCATATTTATAAACAAAAAAAAACTGCAACATAACTAAATTAGCAATGAAGCACTATTAACAACACCATAACTTCTAAAGATTTATGCCAACGCTCTATTTTACTTTCTCTTTCCCCTTCCCAAAAGATGAAAATGGTTATGGGACAAGAAACAAAATGTGAGTTCAGAGGAGGTCTATATATGAGGAAATACCAAATTGTCACTAACGTGAACAACAGTGGTTCAAGGCAGCAGCTTGTCACCACTTTCTAAACAGCAGTATGGATGGGCAATAAATGCTGGCCCAGTCAGAAATACCCATATCCCATGATTGAATACATTTTTGAAAAGCTTCTTCAGCAAAAACTGGAAGAGAGATTATGACCCTAAACCATTGATTGAACTCCCTATGGAGTCTGGACGGCTGTAAAAAGATAACTCTAAAAGATGAGAATTAGTTCTTCAAGCTTAGTTGCCCTACACTCTGCTCAGAAGAGAAATCCTGCCTGTTGCTTCCTGTTTCTTCTGCACTGTACTCCAGAACATCTGACAAAAGGGCCATAATAATCTGCTGAATCCCCAGAGACAAACGATTCTGCAGTAATTTACAGGGTTACTCAGATCCTCCTTTTTGTGGATAGAAACTTATATTTATATAGCACCTTTGATATCCTAGTTCACAGAGAATATGCATGTCTCAAACAGTAACACTAGAGTTGCCAATGTGTGCAAATGCATGCACATTATAATTTTTCAGACAAACTAGTTTGTGCCTCTTTCTTCAGCTTCTGACTTTCTACTAGCACAAACAACATGGAGCAAGGTAAAAAGATCATTTTAAAACACAGGAGATAACACAGTGTGGAGCTGGAAAAACACAGCAGGTCAGGCAGCAGAGGAGCCAGAAAGCTGATGTTTCAGGTCAGGACCCTTCTTCAGAAAAATCTTTCCTGCTCCTCTGATGCTGCCTGGCCTGCTGTGTTCCTCCAGCTCCACATTGTTATCTCTGATCCAGCACCTGCAGTTCTTGCTATCACATTTTAAAACACAAGATTTTTGCCTTTGCATGGGAGTAAAATTTTACACTCTAAAGCTGGACAGGCTCAAAAAAAAAACTAAACATGGGAAAAAAAATAAATAAACACATTAAAATTTTATTGACGCACTTTCTTCATAGTTCACAAGTCATCCTCATAATGGAATTTTAGATAAAATAGTGAATAATCACAGATAAACAAACTTGGAAAAAAAAACAAAGTAAAAGAAATCCAACCATTTCCTATTGAGTTTTCTGATTAAGATAATCTGAGCCTTCCCAACAAGAAAAAAAATTGATTGCCAATCTGGAGAATTTCTTAAGCAATACGAATCTGCTTCTGTTTACCAACAGAATTAGACTTAGCAGTGCTACAACTAGGCAGTGGCCTTAAAACAGTGGTGTTAACCTGGGCACCATTTCCACGCCTCCAGCATGATGCCACCAAACACATTTTACTCTCCACTCCCTTGTTAGCATTTCACAGGGACCAATCCCTCCAGAACATTCTGGTCCACTATGCTTCCAATACTAACACTTGCCCCACATACCCACAGCTTCTTCCCCTGCAATCACAGAAGGTGCAACTCTTTCCCATTTACCTTCTCCCTCCTCACTATCAACGGCTCCAGACACCTTCCAGATGAAGCAGTGATTCACCTGCACTTCATTCAATCCAGTCTACAGTATTCACTGCTCACAATGTGATCTCCTTTACACTGGGGAGACGAAATGCTGAGGGTCTGAGGTGCTGTAATTTACATGGTGAATCCGTAATTACTAATTCATTTGAAAATGGATTCCTTCAGCCAAAGGTGTTTGAAAATGAGTGCCTTAAAAGGACAGGACAGGTTCATGGATACAAGTATTCTAGCTTACTCATAAGTTACTACATTATTTAAAAATCCATTATAAACACATTGTTATTTATCATTAATAATTTGAATACTTTCATTTCAAAGATTTCAAACTCCATCAAAACCAACAATGTCACAGTATAATAAATGTTCACGCATATCAGCCACTCTCCTGGTGACTCAGAGGTCACAGTTCAACAGGTTTAGAACTCCTCCTGTATCTCCTCACCACCCAAATGTCTACTGTTAATTTGCAAGTTCAGTTAAAGAAAACCACAACTGAACTTGGTTACATAAAAACACGAGAAATAGAAGCTCTGCGTTGTCTTTGCCAGGCATTGCACATAATTTAATTAATGGAAACATGAGTGATTTATAGCTGGTGGATAATAAATGTAAAGTACCATGAGTGATTTGGTGGTGGGAATAAAAAGCCATTCAGTTGGGTCTGATAACACTTCAGAATGAAAAAAAAGACATAAAAAGAAGAAATAAGAGCAGAGGTGACCATTTGGCTTTTTGAACCTACTCTGCCAATCAATACGATCAGATTGTGGCTTGAACTCCACTCTCCTCCATAAAAAGAACAAAGACAACTCAGCACGGGGTTAGGCCCTTCAGCCTACCAAGTCTGTGCTGATACAAACTGCCAATCTAAACAAAAAAAGTTTGTCTCTACGCGGTTTGTATCCCTCTCTTTCCCTGTGTATTCATGTATCTGTCAAGATGTCTCTTAAACATTGCTATTGTACCTGCTTCGACCCGCTCCTCTGGCAGTGCATTCCAGGCACTTACCATACTCTGTATATTTTAAAAAAACCTTGCTTCTCACATCTTGTTTAAACTTTCTTTCTTTTACCTTAAACCTATGTCCCCTAGTAACTGACATTTCTATTCTGGGAAGAAGATGCCAACTATCCCATTCCTCTCAATTTTGTAAACCGCTATCAGATTGCCCCTCAGCCTCTGACATTCAGGTGAAAACAAACCGAGTTTGTCCAATCTCTCCTCAGCCAAAACCCGCAACCAGGCAACATCCTGGTAAACCTTTCCTGTCTAATGAGAGAGCAACCCCATGATCTGGTAAGACTATGGCAACACACAAACCTTTTCTGTACCCTCTCCAGAGCCTCCCTATCCTTCTGGTAGTGTGGCGATCAAGACTATAAGCCACATTTGGAATATTTGCATAAAGTACTGCACAGCTGCAACATGACTTTACAAATGCTAAAATCTATGTCCCAACCAATGAAATGCCATATGCCATCTGACTGCCTTATCCACTTGTATTGCCACTTGCAGGGAACTGTGGAGCTGTAGATCCCCCTACGTTAATGCTACTAAGGGTTCTGCCATTCACTGCATACATCCCTCCATCAGTAGGCCTTCCAAAATGCATCATTTCACATTTGTCCAGACTAAATTCCATCTGCCGTATCTCTACCCAAGTCTCCAGCCTATCTATATCCTCTGGCAATCCTCCTCACTATCCGCTGCTCCCCAACCCTTGTGTCGTCAGCAAACTTACTAATCAGGCCACCTATATTCTCCTCCAAATCATTTATATTACAAAAACAGGGGTCCCAGCATTGATTCCTGCAGGACACCCTGGTCACAGATCTTCAGTCAGAAAAACATCCTTCCACCACCACTGTTGTTATGTGACCAAGCCAGGTTTGTATCCATCTTACCAGCTGACCACAGATCCCATTTGACTTCACCTTCTGTATCAGCCTACCATGAGGGATCTTGTCAAAGGCCTTGCTAAAGTCCATGTCAACAACACCCACCACTCCACCCTAATCAATCATAACCTTCAAATCTCTATGGGGAAACAAATTCCTAAGACTAATGAGCCTCTGAAAAAAGGAATGCCTCCTTCTCTGTCTTAACGGAGAAATCTCATTTTGAAACTGTGCCACCTTGTTTCAAATTCCCCTTGTGAGTGGATGCATCTTCTCCTCTCAGCATCTACCCTCTCACAGTCTGCTCAGAATTTCCTATGTTTCTACGTACCAATGAGTACAGGCCTAACCTACTCAGCCTCTCATCATAACACTTTCACCCAGGAATTTTGCTACAAACTAAAATATTTGGAGCAGGAACCCTGGCTCAATTTCCCCCATCAATGCTCATATTTATTAAATATACATACACAGACCAGGAATCAAATCTGAATCTAAGTCTATTTGTGGCTCACGATTTCCAGTATATCTATCAGTTGAGAGCTATTAGGAAGCAGAGTATTTTTCAATTTCTTACATGAAACATTGAGCAAAATATGCTTACCTTGCCATGGTCTTTCTCCACTTTCCGGAAACATTTGTTCAAGGAGAGATTATGCCTAACGGAGTTCTTCCAACCAGTAGGCGCGTTGGTAAAATATGGAAAACGTTCCAATATCCAATTGTAGATATCCTTAACTGGAAGGCATTTTCTGGCTGAGTGTTCAATTGCCATAAAAATAAGGCAACTGAAAGAATAGGGAGGCTTGGAGTTTAATCCACGCTTGTCATTGTTCAGAGAATCTGAACAAGGTGAAGATGAAGCATCTTCTTCAGTGATGTCACGTGTAGGGCTAACACTGCGAAGGACCTCACTACCCAGGCTGAAGTTCTTCAGGAGATTTTTATTTTCATGAAGCCAGTTCAGGTTTGTAAGCTCTTCATCATCCATTATTCCCTTGTCAGCAGAAATGGCTTTCATACTTGTGGCACCAGCCATCTCTGGCAAAATGTCAATGGGGCAACTTGAATTCAAACTGCAAGTCTCCCCTATTCCTGGGATCTCGGTTTTTTTTGTTGGAGACATGCCAATAATTGGACCCATTTAAGCCTCACATCTGTCAAAGAAAAAAAGATAGTCAAAGAAAAAAAAACACCATTTCCACCTTAAATCACTTTATCATCGCATATCATAACTAATAACCCTGAATTTTATCTTCCACCAGTACTTAAGGCAAACTTAAACAATAGTGAAAAATGGTTGCATTGTGGAACAGCTGGGCGTGATCATTGGCCAAAATTTTTCATTGGTCAAGTTGCCCAGTATTCAGCTGTTCAGATTGAACAGCAATACAAGCTGCTGGAAAAATCTTCGATAAGTGCAAAGAACAGGATTGGCAAGCTGCTGGGAACAGGTTGTCACAAGAAGGTCATAAAGCAACTTGCTTAATTAAGACCTCACCCTTCCCCTCCTTAAACATTCACTCCCTCCACTGGCATGCTGTGGCTGCTATGTGTACTATCTGTATGATGTAGTGCAAAACATTTTGAGGTTTCCACGACAGCACCTCCCAAGCCTATGAGCACTACCACCTTGGACCACTGTCACTTATTTTCCCTTCCCAGTATCAGTGGAGTTTGTTTTTAATATTGCCACCGATGAATATATTCTACCAAATTCATTTATAAAATGGATTTGCGTGATGACCACAAGGTGAGAACAGCACTGGAGTGGATGCAATCTGCAACCTGTGAGATTAATCCAAGTCATACCTCAGATTGAAACAATTTTTGGGTCTCAAACTGCCACAAGTGAAAATGTTAATTTCTCAGAGGATGCACAAAGAGGTTGTGGAATAGCCATTTAGAATGTAGCAGGAGACTGAGAAATGCATGAAAACTGGGGTGTAAATTCCAGTTTTTGTGAAGTCTAACAAAAATTATGTGGTATCTCACCATTTTTACTTGACTACTTTTTCCTCAATTCATGAGGGTGAGAGTTTCTGAACCCTTGTGAATCAAGTTTTAAATTCATCCTTGAGTTATTAGACTCATAAAATACTGATCCTATTTCCATTGTTCATCCTGCACATATAAAAACACAGTTGAAAATTTTAGATAATTCCGTTGGCAAACTGAATTCTACTTAAATCCAATGTGTTTGAATTTAATCGAGTCATGTGGTTTCTGACCTTGTCCATCCCAGTCTAACACTGGCACCTCCACGTCATAATCTAATCTGATCACTATTGTGAACAAATTAAGTTTAACTCCACTGTTCACTAATTAGAGCATCAAAGACCTAGGGCAGTTGAAGAGGGGGGGACGGGAAAATAAACAAAGAATGATCTCATTGAAGAAGGCAGGCAACAAAAAGCATCTAAAGCCCCCACAATTTATGTTAACTGTCCCTTGACACTCATCACAAAAATAAACTCTGAAGTCATACAGAAACTAAACAGTCAAGCTTTTCTAAATTCTTTTCTATACTCTATGAAGCTGTTAACTAGGTCAGTTCAAAATATGCAGTCTTTTGTATGAGACACAACTGAACAATACACTCAATCAAGATAATACCAGAGATAGAAGTGTGTTATTTACAGCTCTGACTGCTATCCTTTTCCCTTGAGCTTTTCTATTAAAGATGTTAACCATACTGTTGAATAGATATTTAGTTAAAACATCCAATTAGCAACACAATGCTCACCTGCTTCAGCAACTCAACAGCCAGCCATTCGGGTCTGCCCCACCCGTTCCAGTACAAAGAGGGCACCAATGATAAAAAATAAACACAATCTGATACCTCAACGTTCGACTGTTTTTCCATGAATTAATTACTTAGCTTTATATATGCAAGGCCTTAATTTATCAGCTCCGCTAATGTAAAATTATTCTTTTCAGTTGTCAGTGTTGATCTCGCTCTCCATAATGCTCTTCCTTTCTCTAAGACAGTAACCTTTACTGTTAGAGGCCAAAAATACCTGCAGATGTTGGAATCCAAGGTAGAAAAACAGGAGGCTGGAAGAACACAGCAAACCAGGCAGTATCTGGAGGAAAGGAGAAGTCAACGTTTTGGGTATTACCCTTCTTCAGAACCTATACTGTGCTGTATTTCCATGGCTTCCAATATCCTCTAGTACTGTATTCAGGTTCCACTTGAATGAAACACAATACCAACAACTTACAGAATAATAAGTTTAAAATGCTAATAAATCTCCCAGAACATTTTCAAACAAAATTTAACACTGATCCACATCAAGTGGAACAGACAGGTGGCCAAAAGCTTGGTTGATGATAAACCATAGGTGCTCTTTGACTCTATGAGTAGGGGGTTATTGAGGATGAAACCTGGAAAACATCCTCTGGTGACCAAAGCTTGCCCAGGAGACCACTCTGAACCTTAGGAATGTTATAATGTCACCTTTTGTACCAGGGATATCCACCCCAGGCAGTAGCCTGTTCCACAGATTTTATTCACTTATGGGATATGGATGATGGTGGTTGGGCCAGTGTTTATTGCTCATTGCTAGTTTGCCTTGAGAAAGTAGTAATGAGCAGCCTTCCTGAAGTTTGCAATCCATTTGGTATAGGTACACCCATAATACATTAGAGAGGGAATTCTAAGATTTTGATCCAGCAACATTGAAGGAATAGTGATATTTCCAAGTCGGGGTGGTGAGTGGCTTGGAAGAGATCTTGCAAATGGCAGCATTGCTACGTATCTGCTGTCCTTGTCTTTCTAGATGGTTGTGGTCATGGAAGGTGCTGTCCAGCAGCCTTGGTGAATTTCTGCGGTGCATCTAGCAGAGGGTATACACGGCGCTACTAAGCATTGGGGGTGGAAGGTTTGGATGTTCGTGGATGTGGTACCAATCAAGTGGGCTACTTTGTCCTGGGAGGTGTCCCACAACTTTTGAGGTAAAGAACCTATGGTTTGGATGTCATCATGCCATTCAAAGAGGAGTAATAAAGGTGTTTAAGGAAGCATGTGGAATCCTTGGCTTTGTAAATAGAGCTCTTGTATACATAATCAAAGAAGTCATGCCAAATCTTTACAGATATGGTGAGGCCTCAACAAGTGAACAGTGGACAAATGTGTGCCACAGTTTAAAAGGATGTCAAGGCTGCAGAGACTGTACAGCGTGTTATCAGGATGATATTATGGATGAAGGAAGATTTTGCTATATGGAAAGACTGAGGTAGTCACCTGAAATGCACTACCTGATAGAGTGGTGAATGCTGTTTAAATACCATTTACGAAAAGCAAAATAAAAACAGGAAAAACGTACTTGGATAAGCACTTGAAGAATCACAATATTCAAGGCTATAGGCTTAGTGTGGGAAAGTGGAACTAGTGTAACTTATGTTATATATTTGGCAGTACAGACTCAATGGGCCACTTCTGTACTGTATCATTCTATGATTCTCAATGAATGCTTTTCAAAAGAGCCAGAGCATGGGCTGAGTAGCTTCCTTCTGTGCTGTACTATTCTAAGTTGCAATTGTTCTTTTCAAAGCAGAGGACGGAATAGAGGTATTCAAAATCAAAATAACTTGTGAAAGAACTACAGAGAAATGGGGAACTTCTTCAAACAGAGTCAAGATCTGGAATGGACTACTTGAAAATGTGGTGGAATCAGATTCCCAAACTTTTAAAAGGCAATTTGAAATGCATTTGAAGATGACTAATTTATAGGTTTATGGGGAAAAAAGTGTTAGTTATAGAATTGAGCAAGAGGGCAGGGAACTGGGAGAAGAGGGACGGCAGCAAGAAACCAGGTCCAGGAGCGGGAGGAGTGAAAGGCCAGAGCCAAGAGGCAGCTATCATTTTGCCAAAATAAAACAAAGAACTACAGACGCTGGAGTAAAGCTGAGAGGGGGAGCCCTGGCTAGGAGCAGCCTTTCTTCGCTTGGATGGATAAGTGGGGTGAAGAGTTGCCTTTTTTGCAAAGGCAGCTATCTGGCCACTGAGAAATTGATAAGATTTCAGGGGTTGACAGAAGGCTTGCAAGCGGGCTGAGGGAGGCTGGGCATAGAAAGCAAAGCTGCAACAAGGCAGTATAGACAATGAGGCAACAAGGGGGTGGGGTTAGCAGAGAACAGGAAGCTGCAGGTCGGTGGTGGGTGGCTGAAAGGGAGGGGTGGGAGAAAGCAAGAGACTGCATGCATGGAGAAAGGAAAGGGAGACTGCAAGGTTATGAAAGGGAGCAGGAGGCTGAAAAGGGAAGAGAGAGGGAAGCTGCAAAGCCAAGAACAGTTTCATTCTTGTCAACAATGAAACAGTTCACTAACTGGAAGCTAGGAAAATTTGAAATCTCATGAATTCCCTCCAAATGAACGTGGAATCTTTAGCATAAGGCTGGATATTTTCAGGAGCTATATTGAGGAAAATGTTCTGGATGTTGGAATGATATCAGGTATAAGGATTTTACATACAAGAAAAGATTAGAGATACTAGGTGTATTCTCCTTGTAGCTGTGAAAAATAAAGTGTGACCTTACTGAGGTGTTTAAAATTACAAACAGTTTTGACAGGGTAAAGGAGGATATTCTGTTTCCACTAACTGGTATATCAGTAACTAGGGGTCACAACTTCAAGACTGTCAGCAAGAGAACTAGGAGTGAGATGAGGAGAAACTTCTTGACTCACGAGTTGTTCAGATTTGGAAAGGCACTAGCTGGGAGAGTGGCAGAGGCAAATTTCGTAGGAGGTTTCAGAAGACAGCTGGATGTATATTTGAAAGCAAAGACGTTAGAGGGCTATGGAGATAGGGCTGGATGGCACTTTAGAGAGCTGGTATAGATACGATGGGTCAAATGGCCTCATTCTGTTCTGTAAAATTCTATGATACTATGATATTGTAATGAACATTGTGTAAGGAGCAAGACTAAGTAATTTAGCCCCTTGAGCCAGTTCCGCCATTTAATACGATCATGCTTGATCTCATCTCAGCCTCTACTCCACTTTCCTGCCCCCTCTCCATAACCCATCACTAATTAAAAATCAAAAATCTATCGCCTCCTTAAATTTACTCAATGTCCCAGCTTCCACAGATTCACAACCCTTTGTGAGTAGTAATTTCTTCTCATCTGTTTTAAGCTGGCTACCCCTTGTCGTA